TTTACTTTCTTAGCATATCCTTCGGAATAAAATTTCTGCATCTTGTGAGGGCTGCATCCTTTCCACTCTCTTGTGGGTCACCTCTTACATTCTTGGTTAAGCCATAAAAAAGCTTATTGGTTTGAGCCACTATTAAGATCCTACTTAATAGTGGATCCAGATGATAGATCCTCTGAATTGGAAAGACTTCTAAATTGTTAAAATTTTAGAAAGTGCTCATCTTAAACAATTTTACCTATTTTAATTGGTATGCAAAAGCCCCAAAAGACGTCCAGGTTCCAAAACAGCTTCATTGAAGGATTTGTTGTAGAAGGCTAATGAAAGATTAAAGATATAAAATGTACCTAAAACAAAAGACTGTAAGACTGACATAGTTCCTACGGCTCCCCTCTATTCTCCTTTATTTGAGCACTCATTCTAGTAACCCTCTGTATGAATTGCTTTTCCACTCTGAAGAGACTATTAAACAGTTACCTTTAGAAATGGGACCATTTGAGGCTGTCAGATATCCTCTTCAGGTCGAGAGCTGAACTGAGGGCCATAGTTAAAGCATTTCTTAAACCCAGGGAGGATCCTCAAAAGTTTTTATAAATGGATTATCAAGATGAGAGGCCACTTGTCTGACTATACTATTGACCACAGCTGATATTCAGAGTTTGATAGAATGTTTTTGGCCCCCTCCCCTAAGCTAAATATACCCAGAGAAAAAGAAAAATATTCCAACATAGGTGGATGGGTATGTCTGTCCTCTGATATCATTTGTGTGACCACCCAATTCTTTGAGGAATTAAAAGCAGCAGTCCTTGATTTTACAAATCTAGTCTTTCTAGGACTAGAGGTGTGGCTCCAGAAATAATTCAAAGCCCTCCAATCCTTTTTCCACTCCCCTAAACCTCCCCTATTTATCTTAAGAGGCTTGTAGGTATTGGAAAAAAAATTCTGGCCCTAAGTTAACAAAAAATCCTCCTAAGATGAACTTGCATTTCTCTTCCTGTACCTTTGAGATATAAATGTTCTATCTGGACTTCTCCAGGAACTCTCATCTGCTTTACCATTTTAAAATACAAGTTTCAGGAAGGTGATTCATATCAAAGGAAAATCAAAGGAGGGAGAAGTCATTTGGGATTTTATTTGTCAAGGGCAAATACAGATTTTAAATATCTTCTCCATAAATATTAGCAAAAAGGGTTTAGTTATCTAAACAAGTGACCTTGATTTGTTTCATCTGCCAGAAACCCAATTTGAATCCAATCTCTTCTGTAACTGAAGGGTTTTGCACTACTGTACCTCTCCTCACCCTGATTCATGGCTGAAATTTCGGAATGGGAACTAAGGGGTCTCTGTGTCTTTGTATGTGTCTACATATATATATGAGTTGTAGATGTGTGGTACAGTCAACATTAATTTGTAAGAGTTCTATTCATTTGGCTTAAAGAAAATTAAGCACTTAGATAAATTCACAGAAATATAAAAGAAACTAAAATGAATTTCAGATTCACATGATCTGGGAAATATTCAGTATTAAATTAACATTTGGTATTAAAGTCAGTTTAGTTTGTTGGTTTAATTAAACCAGATATGTCTAACATACAAATGGCCAATAGACACACAAAAAATGCTCAATATAGCTAATTAGAAGAAAAATGCAAATCAAAACTACAATGAGGTATCACCTCACACCAGTCAGAATGGTCATCATTCAAAAGTCCACAAATAATAAATGCTGGAGAGGGTGTGGAGAAAAGGGAATGCTCCCATACTGTTGGTGGGAATGTAGTTTGGTGCAGCCATTATGGAAAACAGTATGGAGATTCCTTAAAAAAACTAAAAATAGACTTACCATATGATCCAGCAATCCCACTCTTGGGCATATATCCAGAGGAAACTGTAATTAGAAAAGATACATGCACCCCAATGTTCATAGCAACACTATTTACAGTAGCCAAGACATGGAAACAACCTAAATGTCCATCAACAGATAACTGGATAAAGAAGCTGTGGCATATTTATACAATGGAATACTACTCAGCCATAAAAATAGTAAAATAATGCCATTTGAGCAACATGGATGGACCTGGAGATCGTCATTTTAAGTGAAGTAAGCCAGAAAGAGAAAGAAAAATACCATAAGATATCATTTATATGTGGAATCTAAAAAAAAAAGACACAAATGAACTTATTTACAGAACATAAACAGACTCACAGACATAGAAAACAAACCTATGGTAACCAGGGGAGAAAGGAGGTGGGAAGGGATAAATTGGGAGTCTAAGATTTTCAGATACTAATTACTATATATAAAATAAATAAACAACAATTTTTATTGGTATAGCACAGGGAACTATATTCAATATCTTGTAGTAATCTATAATGAAAAATAATATGAAAATGAATATATGTATTTATATACATGACTGAAACATGATGTACACCAGAAATTGACACAACATTGTTAACTGACTATACTTCAATAAAAAGGGGGAAAAAAAACCCAGACATGTCTTTAGAGTCATCAACATCATTTAAAGGACTCTCTCCAACCTAGATTGAAGAACCCTTGTCAGGTAGCCTTAATCAGCTTTTGCACAGCATAACTGAAGGGAATTGATTCTCCGATTCATATTTCCCACTTGAAACGACCCCTGCAGTGGACTGATCAATACAGAGGACTGCTGACCTCAAACTCACCTCAAAACAATGCTCAAACAGATGAGAAACTACACCCACCCCAGGATGAGAAGAAGACATCAGAAGTAGACAGCTATCCCAAGATGTTGGACCTGACCGGTATGATTATTTATAGTGTTTTTTCATTTCTTGGACTTCTGCATATAAAGCAAATGTTTTTCTATCATGGGCACAAATCTCATGCAGAGTTTAAAAATTAATCTAATTGTTGGATTTACAGTCAGTTACTTACCTCCAAGTACTTCAGAGTTACCTTGGTGGATTTCTCCTCTCCAAGGCTCTAATTGAATGGCCTTAGGAAAATTATTCTAGAAGAAAGAAGTTATAGTTCTGTTTGGGTCACTATTGATATTACTAGATGGGACCTCTTCACTGGGCCAATTAATCATACTTACTCTGATCATGGCTATAAATATGAATGACTTCAAAAAATGTATATCTAGATGGAAAAAATATGAATTACTTAAATCTGTATCACAATCACCCTTGTTTACTGTGCTTTTGCTGGTAACCTCTCATAACAGACTCTCTTCACCCTAAAGATCCTCTTCTGTCTTTTGCTGAGGATGATATTCAAGGTGAGGGCTTTGGCCATTTTGGTGAGTTACTCAGTTTTTCTGGATCTTTCCATGTATACATGTTATTAAACCTTGTTTGATTTTCTCCTGTTAATCTTTCTCATGTCAATTTAATTTTTAGACAAGCCAGCAGAACCTAGACAGATAGAGGAAAATTTCTTCCTCCCTGACAATAGCCTTCAAAACCATCCAGTACTTTGGGGGTAGGAGGGGAGGATAGATATTTAGGAAAAATCTTTAAAAAGTAACACACATATACAGTAAAAATTTCAAACTGCATGAAAGGTCATACAATGAATAGTCCTCCCTTGAAAGTCATTAAATACTCCCTCCCACCACTTGTTGCCAGCCCCTCAGTTTCTCTCCCCAGAGGCAACCACTGTTATCAGTTTCATACGTAGCCATCAGGACATAGTCTCTGAATAGTCAAACATATGGATATATATTTCCTCCTACTTTTTTATATAGATGGTAGCATACCATATAAAGTGTTCTGCACATTGCTTTTATATATTAATTTTTTTCTCCCAAAATTTTGTCCTAATGATATTCCCTACTTCCTTTGTGAGTTTCATTTTGGCCATTTTTCTAGGAAACTGCCTGTTTCCCCAATATTTTCCAGTTTTCAGAGTTGTACATCATGTTGTCTTGTAATTTAGGGAAAACTAACAAAATTTTCCATACCTATTGGTTTAAATGTTAATCCCACTTCCTCCACTTACAAAGATGAGGTTAGGTGGCCATAAATTGTGGCTTTGAGTTAGGAAGTGATAACTAGGGAGTGATAATTTTGGAGGTTATCAAGGAAATAAAAGAGGTTATTAACGGCCTTAGGGAAGCCAGAAGGGACTTGATAGACTGATGAGTGCTGGAGGTCAGGACGGGTTGGGTGGCATTGCGGGCGGGTAGGGGAATGGGAGGGGTGGAGTGATTGTGGGACGCTGAGGCTGGGCTTGGAGAATTGTACATAATATTCTCTTGTAATATAAAAAAAGTTTCATTATCTACTGGCCTATATTTTAATATTATTCCCATCAGTATCTGCATAAATACTGACAATGTGCTTGGTTTGAGAAGGAGAATTATAATACTTAAACAAAACAGGACAAGACCACGCAAACAAGCGCACACCTAACCCTCATTAGTTTGGGACTTTTGTCACGCCATTTCCGCTCTTCTTAAGTTTACTATTTGTCTGCTTTCCTGGACTGCCTACCCCTCAAAATAAAGCACTCTATTTCACACCCATCTTCTACCCTGACTGTTAAAGGTGTAAAACGGTTATCCGCCTGCCCCAGCGAGGCACTCAGTATCCCTAATACGCTTGTATAAATGATGGATGTATTGCTTGACCTCATTTTAGCCTGGGGTGAGGTAAACCGGAAGACTGTAACACTGAGAAAGTCCCGGGATAAGATACAGAAAAGAGGTTGGGCATGTAGGAGTTTTCTTTAAAAAGTTATTCTTACAATAACCACCCTCTTTCAGCCTTGAACATCTTCAGTACTCGCCCCAAATCGCTTAACAACTTAGTAAATTGTAGTGGGATTAAAATTTTCGCCAATGTGTACAGAGACGTTCTCCCCTACCTCGACCCCCAAAGCGGGTAAGGGAGAAAAGTTATCTTGGAGGTCGATGCGGAGACCGTACAGAAGTTTACAAAAGTCGAGGAAGTGGGAAGCCGCTAGGTGGCATGATGAGAAGCGCAGGGAATAAGCCAAGCGGGGCGGGAGTGGAAGAAGCAGCTGATACGGAGGGCTTGATCCCTTTATTCAGAAGCTGGCAAACTTGAAGACTCTCCGCCGCAGGGAGAGGAGCAGGCATTTTCCCTAAGGTGCGGCGCTGGGGATGTGGGGGAGGGGGGCTGCACTCCGAGCCTACTCCTGTAAGCCGGAAGCCGGCGGGGGGGCGGGAGAAGGAAGCGGCGGTCCGTCGGCCCTCGCAGCGAGCTGAGAATCGGGCTTGACTGTTAAAGGGGGAGCATGTCTAGCGGGACCTGAGGCCCCGAAGAAGGGAAGTGAGGCGATACGGGCCTCCCCTCAGCACCCGGAGGACAAGGGACGAAAGCCGGGGCCGCCAGCCGCTCCCAGGAGCCTTTCCGTGACGCGGCCGCCACGCGCAGACGCGCTGAAGGGCGACGGCCTCCACGTCTCAGGTGCCGCAAAGGCTTGTGGGAGCGACCCGAGAGAAGGAGGGCCAAGATGGCGGAAGCGGCGGAGTCTCCAGGAGACCCGGGGACGGCAACGCCCAGGCCCCTGGTGAGCTTGGGATGTTCCACAAAAGGGACCAAGGGTGAGGCAGAGTGCCCCTTCAGGAAGTCGGGTGACGAGCTTGTGGCCTGAGAGAGCTGGAACCCCTTCCTCCCGACAGGCCCTTCCTGGACCTGGTGCTAGAACCAGTCTCAACACTGCACCTGTTTTTCGGGCTATTTCCTTCCACCCGCCCTCCTCGTTCTTCACGAGCCTTTTTGTGCAATTCCCAATTCCCTTTCCTTTACCAGACTCTGAGGGCTTGTCCTCGTCCCCGACATGTTTTTAACTGCTGAGCTTTAGGCGATTTAAGTATCTTTGCTTCTGCTGTCCCCTCATTTTCTCACAACCTGGCACTAGCCCTTGTTCGAGTAGCAGCATTCTGGGTTTAATGAAAGTTTGCTCCCCGTGCGACGTTATAGCTTGATTTTCCCCTAGTATTCGTGGTTTAATCCCTGCCCTCCCTGTCACAGCTCCTTGCAGTCCTTTTCATGATGGTTTCTTGCTTCTGTCTCTACGGAGGATAGGATTTCTCTTGCAAGTACAAGCCCAAAGCCTGAACAAGTATTTAAGAACACAGGTTTTGGAGTTAAACTTAGCTGGCCTGGAGTCACCCACTCTACTGCTTGTGTGAATTTGGGCAAGTCATTTCATTGGAGCATTTCTTCATCTGTAAAATGGAGGTAAAAATGCCTGCCTCGGAGTTATTAGGAAGATGAAGTGACATAACTTATGTGAAGTGTCTAATACAATCAGCGCCATAACTGAGGAGTGTAACTAACTCAACATTCTGCCTCCCAGTAACTCCTCCCAAACAATGTTTGTCTACCAAATAGTGTTTAGTTATATAGTAGTTGCTCAATAAATGGTATATCCCTTTCCTCTGTTTTAAATTGGCGACTTAGTAGAGAACTGAACTGGGAGTCAGGTGAAACTGATTCTAGTTCTGGTTCTGCTTACTAGCTCTGTTTGTTCATCTCTTCATTTCACCAGTAATTATTGAGTATCCACTGTGTTCCAGGCAGTGTTTTAGGCCCTGGGGATATGACAATGAAAGAGAGTGAGTAGGTCAAAGTTATCATGGAGCAGTCGTGACCTTGAGGAAATCACTCTGAACCCCAGTTTTCTCATTTGGAAAATGGAGATGATAACTCGTCACAGAATTAGTGAGTGTACTGAATGAACTAATACACACATAGTTCCTGCTGTGACATAGTTACAGGTGCTTAGCTGATTTTAGGTCCTTCATCTATAGACTGCCCTACTCCTCTTTTATGAAGCTTTCCCCCAATTAATTTTTGTGGTTCTGATCACTCATTACTCAGTATCCAATCCACTTCTATTCAGCAATGTTTATTGAACTCCCACAGTGTGTAATACACTATGCTAGTTGCTTTAGGGGATACAAATGGCCTGTCCTTATGGTGCTTACAGTCTAATTTGTAGGGATGAAACAAATGTACAATGCTAAAAAAAAGACAATATATAAGAAAGTGACATGTGAAAATGTTAATGAAATTTAAAAGAGGGTGCTATCATGTCTTGTTGGAGTGACAAAACAAGCTACGTGGTAGAAGTTGTATTTGAGAGGGCCTCAAAGGTTGGTTAGGATTTGAAATTCCAGATGAGCATAAGATCTATTGATGTCATGCTGTGTGCCAGGATTGTGCTAGACATCTTCCTGCATATTTTCTAAACTTCACTGCAACTATTTCAGTTAGGTGGTTTTTACCCTGTGTTTTACTTGCAGGTGAGGAGATGAGACTCAGAGAAGTTTGACGGTTTCCTTAGCGTCCCACAAGCAGTGAGTGGCCAGGCTGAAATTTGAACCTAGGCCTGCTTCTGAAGCCCTGAGTATTTCCATTAATACTACACAGCCTCTCATTGGTGAAGGTACAGAGGTTAGGAACAACAGATAGATTTCTTTTGGCTGAAGCACAGGGCAGTATTAGGAGGTAAACCTTAAAGCTACTAAATTAGGAAGGCAGTATGGAACAGTGGTTATGGTTGTGTTCTCTGAGGTCACATTGCCTAGATTTGATTCTATGCTCTGTCATTTAACTAGCTGTGGGATATTGGGGAAATTACCAACCCCCTCCATGCCTCAGTTTCCCTATGTAAAATCAAGATCTAGTAATACTTATAGGGTTGTTAGGTGGATTAAATGAGTTAGCACATGTAAAACACTTGGTAGAGTGCCTGGCACATAATAATCATGCAATAAGTGTTATTTCCTCTTATTGACTACTATGCTGAGAGGTTTAATAGGCAACAAGGAACCAGTGGAAACTTAAAATCATGAATTTGACAACATAATAGAGGAAGAGTTGCCATGGGGAATGTCTGGAATCTAGGAGACCAATGAAATTGTTGCAGTAGTTCCAGGAAGAAGTGATGGCTACCTGGACTACAGCAGCAGCAGGAGACATGAAGATCTGAGAAAGGCAGACTCCTCTAGGGTTTGCAGTGCTAGGGAGACGGTGTCTTAGATAGTGTTTTGCAAACTTTAACATGCTTAGCAGTCATTTGAGGAATCTTGTTTATTGCTGATTCTGACTTAGTAGGTCTGAGATGAGGCTGAGAGTCTGCATTTCTAATAAGCTCCCAGGTGGTGCTACTGCTGCTGCTCCCAGTATCACATTTTGAAAAGCAAGCCTATGGACAAATGGGAGGCCAGTGATGCCCTGAACAGAAATACATAAGAGGAGGATGAGGGCCCTACAAGTTGATTAATTCACTTTTGGAAATGTTTAGTTTGAGATATTGGCAGACCATCCAGTTCATATCAAGTAGGCAGTTGGACACTAAAACCTAGACTTCAGGACTCACAAGAGGTCAGGACTAGACATGTTGATTAGGAGTCATCTGCATACAGTTGAAAATACAGAATCTTGGGTAATGCCTGTCTATTGCCTATCTATTTATAGAGCAGGAAAAAGAGCTATAATAATGGCTATAACCTGGGGTCTGGAAGGAGGCTGGTCCCAGGCAAAGGGACTGGCTAGAGACTGTCAGTAAGCACCCTCATCCCCACCCCCACCCCTTGGAGCCAGGCCTCTTAGACTGAGCTGTTTCCTGCTCGATGCCCCATCCCACCTTGTTGACTCCTTTCTCTCCAGGATTTTGGTCAATAGTGTGGCCCATCTGCCTCCCTACCGCTTTCTGAAGGCTGCAGTCCCTGCTTTTACTGTGTGTTTTTGACCCTGCCTCTATCTGCTCCCCTTACTGGCCCAAGCTAGGCAGCAAAGTATGCACGTGTATTTCTGTGCATGTATGTGCACAAGCCTGCCTGTGAAGAGGAAGCGGGAAGGATATTGGGTCCAAGTCACCTTTCATCCCCACTGAAGGGCTAATCAGAGAGCAGGGTCCACTAGCTAAGGGCCTGGTAGTACTGTCTCATATATGGGGCTGGAGAGTCTCAGATCTTGGTTCATCTCACTAAACAGTGTCATTGATTCTCTGGAGAAGAGACACTGAGGAAGGGTTGGGATGGGGGATGGGTGGGAATCACATGGCACTTTAGTGACTGCAGTGACGTCCGAAACTAGGTAGCTGGAGTTAAGCCAAACTTCCCAGGTTAAGGGCAGTCTTTGTAAGACTGTCCTTGCTTCAGACACCAGCCATAGGTTTGGAGGTTCCCAGGACCATTCTCACTTCTGACCTATTGGCTACAAATTCAGGGGTTCCCATGATCCTCTCAGGCTCCATAATTCACTAGAATGACTCACAGAACTCAGGACAATGCTATACTTAAAATTATACCTTTATTATAGCAAAAGGATACAATCCAAATAGAGATGCATAGGTTGAGGTTTGCGAGGGTCCCTAACACAGAGTTTCCTTGTCTTCTGGTGGAGTGAGGATAGGACCCTGTTACCCTCTTGATACAACGATGTGTGACAATATGTGGAATATTGCCAACCAGGGAAGTTCACCTACGTATCTAGAGTTTTTATTGAGGTTCCAGTATATCACATGATTGACTGGATCATTGGCTCTCCCACTCCCAAGAGGCCAGGTTTATGTCACAGGACTTAAAACCCCAATCGTCTCATCTTGTGTTTGGTTTTTGGAGAAGTTAGCCCCCATGCTGAGTCATCTCATTAGCGTAAACTAGGGGTCTACCATGACTCACCTGTTAGCTGAACTGTCAGGGCCCTCTATGAATAACAAAAATATTGCTATCATTTGGGAAATTGCAAGAGTTTAGAGGCTACCTCCCAGGAACAGGGAACAAAGGCCAGCCAAATTCTTTATTATAGAACAGTGACAGAACCTGAATCCACTCCCTAGGAATCTTGAACCTGAGCTAAGGTTTTTCTAGCCCCTGGTGTGAGGCTGCTACTAAGTGCTTTACTTGTATTAATATATTTCTTTCTCAGGACCGCACTATGATGATGGTAGTATTATCTCAGTTTTACAGATGAGGCAACTGAGATACAGAGAGGTTAAGGAACCTGCTGATTGTCACACAGGTAGTAAATGATGGAGGTAGGATTGGAACTCAGGCTGCCTGGCTCCAGGAGCCGGTATTCTTGACCCAGGCTCTCCAGATGTTGAGCATTGACTGTGTGCTAGTTGACACACAGGTGTTATCTAATTCTTATAGCAGTGTTGTTTCCTGGTGAGGGCAAAGTGCCGTTTGGCTTCAAAGCCCATTGCTTCTATACTGCCGTGCCTACCCTAGCAGTAGCAGGCAGTAAGAAAACCCAAAACAAGCAATCCTGGAGCTTGGAAGGACGTTGTAATAGTAGTGATGAGAGAATAATGGCTTCAAAAAGGGATGGTTTACACATTAAGTGCTAAAGAATATTCAGAGGGTGAAGCTGAGAAAGGATTCTTGTATTTCTTGATTATGAGGTCAATACTAGACAAACGGTATCAGTGAAGTGGGAAGACCAGTACAGGTTACAGAAGATTAAGTGAGTGGAAGAGTGAAGGGGGAGAGTTTGGGGAGGGAAGAGGAGAGGAAGGAGAGTAGTTTGAGGGAATGGTAAAAACAAGGAAGT